CTTTTTCCTTGACAGAGTGGATGACATTTTCCTGAAGCATGGAAGTATACTGCTTGTCTACAATTATGACATCATAGGCTTCAGGTGCTCAAAAAACAGGTACATGGGAGAAGGGGACGTGTGCATACTTATCCTGCACCCAATGTCCTTGCTTGCTCCACTCACAACCTTGTGTGAAGTGGAAGGTCTGAATGGGGCTTGGTAAGCACATTCAAACCCCCTTCAGACCCACTTTTTGGGAGGGGAGAGGAGAGGAGAGTATGGACATGGGGATGAGGACCTCTATGCATGTCCTTGCACCACCTTTGAATATCTGAAAGGGCACACTCACACATAACAAAGTACACACAGGAAGATTACAGTACTACCCAAGCACATATAATGTTGTTGTTTTTTTAATACTGAACTTAAATGCATGTACAACTTGGGTCGCAGTGAGGGAGTCAGGGGTGAAGGCTATATTGACTTCAATATAGGAACACAGGAAGCTGCCTTGCACTGAATTAGGCCATTGGTTTATCTAGCTTAGTACTGATTGGCCGTGGCTGTCCAGCGTTTCTGACTTTAAGGCTCTCTCTGACCCCTACCCGGAAATGGAACCTGGGACATTTTTTATTAAAGGAGCTGCTCTACCAGTGAGCTATGGCCCTGCCTTGAAATAATAAATGTCCCACTAATATGAATAATGAGAAAGACACAGTAAGTGAACTGAAAAATAAGAGCACAAGGGATTTGTTGGGGAATTATGGAATGATTTTGAGAATGATTTCTCTGGATATAGGGAATGACTGGCTGGGATTGGAATAAGATTGGATGGAGAACCTGTGGCCCTCCAGATGTTTGACTAATGTGCCTGTCATTCTTGGCAATAGGCCATGCTGGCTGGAGCTAATGGGAGTTGGGGACACAGGAGGGCCAGAGGTCCCCCAACCCTGGTTTAGATAATGTAGAACAAAAAGCAACCACCAAAACTTCACCATAAACTCCTTTGTGATCTTCGGATGAAGGGCTGTATAGAAATTTAATAACTAAGTAAAATAATTACTGTTTCTAAAAGTGAACTGGCAAACAACAATGAAGATTGGTGGAATTGTTCAGATACATAACTCGCAAAAGCACTCATGAGTAAGCCCTAAATGGAAGCTGGAGGTGCCAATCACAAAACTTCACCCTCTTCACGCAGGGTGCTTTCTCTTTCTGGAGAGCTTGGTTGTATTAACACTTAACTGACTGTTTTGGGGTGTCTTATTTCATTCTCCATCCTGCTGACTCCAGATCATTCAGGAATACATTCAGTGACATCAGTGCTAAGACATATCAATGAAACTTCCGTTTACGTACCAAAAGTTAGTTGCACTTGTAGGATTCCTGTGTGCTTCTTTTCTTACCCCACTGTTATTAAACCAACCTACTTACCACCTTGTTTCACTAAACTTGTCCTCCTTAAGCACTGGATTGGAAGATAACCAATGTAACAGCCAATTTATAAAACAAGATACAGGAGGAGATCCAGGAAATTACGCACCTGTCAGTGTAATGTTGGTCCCTTCTCTACTGTAAATCCACTTTGCCACAATGTCTTCATCAACCTTAACCATTGTTAAAATGAGGCCAGTGAGATTCCCTGTTAAGCAGGGGTTGAAGCAGTTTTGCAAGACCAGAGTTAAAGGGTGTTTGGTTAGTAACAATAGTTAATGTCACGGCAGAGGTACGGTTAAGGCTTTGAAGGGAAGAGCAGAGATTTATAGATCAACATATTATGGCTGCAGTGACTTTCAGAAGCAGAAGTATGCAAAGTAAGAGAAGCCACTGTGCAGTTAACATTCTTCCAGATGAAATCAGTAGACATAATTAAGAAACGGCAGGGCATAGTCTACTAAGGCCTGTCCTGTCTGCAGCACAAATATTATAGAAAACCTTGTCCGTTCTTTATGAATATACCTTTAACTTTTTATTAGAAAAAAATAGGATTTGAGGCTTTTGAAATACTGAAGAACCAAGGGGGGGAAATGATGCTAATGTTTTAAAATACAGCAAAACATGTGGGAATAACCAGGTAGCATCCTCCCCTCCTGCTGCTTCATATACAAGAATTTCCTTGTTCTACCTACCACCATCAGCAGCATGCAATCTCTACCCATTTTCAGTTCTTACATGGTTCTTTGTCTGGAAGTTGCAGGCTTTTGTTTTGCTGAAATGACATGGATAATATACAATTATTTCTGTACAGATGTTTGTACATTAGTTGCACTATAGCAAAAGATGAGGTCATGGGGACTTAAGATTGTAAAGTAGCTGAGTTCTAGCATTATGAAATGGGTCAGTTGCACATCAGATCAATTAGCATGATGTCTAAAGTGAATAAATGCACAAGAAAATACATTTGAAAAGGAAGTTGCCAAGAAGGAGATGACTCTTTAAACTAGTTGTGGAATGTTTGTCTTCTTTAATGACAGATGTCTACACAGCTCCCCCAAAGTGAAGCAGTGTACAGAAAAAGGGTGACCAATACTGCATTATGGTGTAGTTGACAGCACATTGTGTATGTATTAGCAGTAGATCATATGAAAAACAGCTGATCTATTTTCATGCACACATACACATTCTGGTGAGGACAGGGAGCTGATGATTCCATGGATGCATGGGCTACACACAGCCCTGAAAATAGCTAGCAAATGAGCTATCACCCAAAGTAAAGAAGTGTGTATCTGTACATAAACATGAACAACAGAAACTAGACTGGTTTTGCCATCTTAGTGCGACTTAATGTTTAGGTGGAAGGTATAGGATGCTTTTGAGATGAAGCAAGGTTTTTGGCCATACTGTAATTAGTTTTCACATTGCCATGCTGATGTTGAAAATCTGGAATCAGTGCATTTCCCTGGAACATATATTTCTAGTAAACATGATAGCAGCCCACTGATGGAATAAAATGGATATCTGTTTTGGTGTCCTTGTGAAACTATGTCTATACAGATGGTACATATCAGGAATTGTTCCTGTTTGCTGGACAAGGTCTGCCCAACTTGGGATTGCTGGTGATGGGGTTCCCTTCTATATCTTTTTGTCTGCAGTTCAACACCACTCTACCTCTATTTAGTAGAAGCACCTTCAGATCTGGCCTGCAAACTTACCGTAACTGCAAAGTGTCAAGTCTAGGTAAATATGAATGGTCCCAATTTCCTTCGTATCTTTGTTGTATTTGCATGTTTCTCTGTTCGGCTCGTTCCATTATTTTACTGAAACATCTTTAGTAGCATAGTTAATCAAACCAACTCAAATGAAACTAAGATCAGCAGGCCATCTATTCTAGTGCTGTCTGTTACCAGGCTGTACAATGAAAGACTTTGCAAGTCAAACCCAGCCCACCCATCATGAATGGTGATCCACTTGGCCGCAATAAAACTAGTGTCTGGAACTGGGAAAGAAGATTGTCAAGTGTGTGACAAGCCACAATTCCTGTCCCTAGGGATACATTAGATTTTTAGCTGGAGTTGCCTGAGATCTTATACAAAAGTATGCACCATATTATTGGCTTGTGCCACCTTACAGGGTTTAATACCTCACATTTTGGTCAGTTCACCCTCATGGCTAGGAAGTTTTAAATGCCTGCCTGACGTTAAATACAAATGGTAATTCTCTTTGTGCATCCCATTCCATTGGGAAGACAATTTGAGTAGCAGCATTATGTACAAGGATAGATATTCCATTGTTGCCATCTAGTGGGTATTTGCTGGTGGGGTATTCACAGGGGTGATTAGCAAGTGGATACTTTGTTCTTGCTGCCTGGAAAAAGTGTTCTCACATGGAGCCATTTATATTTGATATAATAATTATTACGTTTTATAATCACTGCTACTAATAGATAGGAAACTACCTCACACCAGGTGATACTTTTGTCCCTGACGCCTTGTGCTGTGTGCTCTGATTGGTAGTGTCTTAGGCAGAGATTTCCCCTGCTACTTTTTGACTTTTAACATTGGAAATGTGAGGTATTGAATCTAGACCTTCTGCATGAAAAGCATGTGCTTCACTTCTGAGCTATGGTCCCTTCCCATAGAATACGAAACATGAGTGTCTCAGTCTTAAGTGTATATGCCAAGAAGTGGTGATGTGTGTGTTTATGTACATGCAGCAAAACGTGTGTGTGATGATCAGAAATGACTCTGGGCATTTGTAACCTGTGAACTAAACAAATTAAGGGGACTGTTGACAGAATTCCTTGTTCATTTTGTGTGATAGCCCCTGTAGGTCATCAGAAGTGACATGATCTTTGATCTTTTTCTGGCCCTTGTTTCCTTTTGAGTATAGGAAAAGATGCTTTCCTGTAGCATATAGAATTACATATGGAAGCTTGTTCATTCTCAAACTATTACCCCCCACCATTAAACCACTTTTAACATAACCTAAAAGGCCAATATACCATATTCTGTAATGAAAAGGTCTGTTGCACCAATATATGGTACTTGATAAAATTTAAAACTTGATGCCTATGGTTAACTTACTCTCTAATCCTTTCTAGGAGACGGTGTAGTGAGAGCCAGCAGTGTTGTCTTCTGTCCAGATTCTGAAGACAGTTTGTATTTCACAAATTACTGTTGAAATGGAATTGACTTTCGGAGGCGGGAGGGGGACATTTGCTGTTAAATGTCTTTCATCCCCTTAAGCAGCTTTTCCTCCTTGGGGTTTCTGCTTACTCTTTAAGTAGTGACCTCTTTCACACTTTTAGGTTGCTAGTATTTGGAGCTTCAGAGGTGAGTTAGCTTTTTCTGTGTTTTGGGATATTGGGAAGGCATGGGATACCAGGCTTGTTAGACTTGGCTATTAAAAATGTTTCTTGCAGTTTTGTTTGTACCTAACAATGTGTTAAAAACTCAGTTTTATGGCAGAGGCATTCAGTTGTATGTTCAGGATTTGAAGGTATACTTAATTTCAGTTTTCATAGTATATAAATTTACTATCACACTGGTATGTTAAGGCACCACAGCTTCAAAAGGATATCTTTTGGAAAAGTCCTTTAATTTATTTCTTTTTATTACATAGTCAACAAACTGTTATAAATGTTACATGATATCTTCCAATTGCTGCAGAATTTTGCTTGCTTATGTAGTCAGTTCAGCTTTTTTCTTGCCTCCATTTTTGGGCTACTGGTGCAAGGAATAGTGAAAGGGAAGAAACAAGGTAACAGCTGCCCGCAAAAATGAAGGAGTAAGCATATGTCTGAGTGTAATCATGTAGCCAACCTGTAGGAGGGAATCCGAGTTCAGTTACTTAAGTTTTTGATATTTCAGTTGAATATCACTTCATTTCCCACAACATTACTATTGCAGAGCTTATATAGAAGGGCCAAGGAAAATAGCTGAGTTTAAATGTTTATTCTGCAAGACTATAGAAGTCCACAGTACAATACTCAAGATTATTTTTGCCCCACCCAAAGCATTTGTTGTACAATACATTTTGGAGCATGAAACAAATACCAGTCTGGCCACACAGCAATCAGATGAGATACGCTCTTACTTTGAGATATCTGACTGGTGTACTATACATACAAATAAATAAATCCCTGTGGCCTTTTTTAAGTAACACTACCAGTTTTCCTCTGAGCAGTATTTTTGTCCTCTGCCAAGATGTTCTTAAAATGTGCCACCAGAGGGCCCACTCTTTTTTCCTTCACTGGAATACATGTCTGTTTCAAGGTATTCTGAAATGAACTCCCAGTGGAGGACCGTTTATACAGATTTCCATTCATGGGGTGCTTACACATGCAAGTAGATCTACCCCATTCAGGGGCCAGTTGGCACTCAGAGGCAGGCTCCATTTAGCTATCAGGGCTAATAGTTGCTGATGGAGTTTGATATGAATCTGGTTTTTCTGTGCAATTCTATGCTGGTTTACTTTGGAAATAAGTCTTACTGTGTTCTATGGGGCTTATTTCCAGGAAAGTGTGCATAGGATTGCAGTCTTACCCCACAAGTTAACTTCATTATGTGAAAGAGTACTTCTGAATCTACTGTGTGTCAATTTTGCTGATTGACTCCATTAAATAATTACTTTTTTATCAACTTCCTCTACACCATGCATAATTTTATAAACCTTTTATGCCACACCATAGTCAACTTCTCCCACCAAACTAAAACACCTTAAAGCCCTAAATCTTTATTTTAGGGAAGTTTATCCAGCCCCCTGTCGTTTCAGTTGTTGTTTTTTGTACCCCTTCCAGTCCTTTTTGAATTGTACACAATATTGCAAATGCTGCCACACTAGATTTATACCAAAGAGAGAGACTGTTTTAGTTCTTTTCCTAATAATAACATTTCGTGTTTTATTGCTACTGTGTCCCCTCATTAGTTTCAGTTAAGACCCCATTGCTTTGTATAATAATAATAATAATAATAATAATAATAATAATAATAATAATTTATTATTTATACCCCGCCCATCTGGCTGGGTTTCCCCAGCCACTCTGGGTGGCTTCCAACAAAACACTAAAATACAATAACCTATTAAACATTAAAAGTTTCCCCAAACAGGGCTGCCTTTAGATGTCCTCTAAAAGTTTGGTAGTTATTCCTCTTTGACATCTGGTGGGAGGGCATTCCACAGGGTGGGTGCCACTACCTGGTTCCCTATAACTTGGCTTCTTGCAGCGAGGGAACCGCCAGAAGGCCCTCGGCGCTGGACCTCATTGTCCGGGCAGAACGATGGAGGTGGAGACGCTCCTTCAGGTATACTGGACCAAGGCCGTTTAGGGCTTTAAAGGTCAGCACCAACACTTTGAATTGTGTTTGGAAACGTACTGGGAGCCAGTGTAGGTCTTTCAAGACCGGTGTTATATGGTATCGGCGGCCGCTCCCAGTCACCAGTCTAGCTGCCGCATTCTGGATTAGTTGTAGTTTCTGGGTCGCCTTCAAAGGTAGCCCCACATAGAGCGCATTGCAGTAGTCCAAGCGAGAGATAACCAGAGCATGTACCACTCTGGCGAGACAGTCCGCGGGCAGGCAGGGTCTCAGCCCTGGACACAGAATTGACCTGTGCCTCCATGGACAGCTGTGAGTCCAGAATGACTCCCAGGCTGCGCACCTGGTCCTTCAGGGGCACAGTTACCCCATTCAGGACCAGGGAGTCCTCCACACCTGCCCGCCTCCTGTCCCCCAAAAACAGTACTTCTGTCTTGTCAGAATTCAACCTCAATCTGTTTTGCACTTACTCAGAATTGCCTTTGCTATTCTTCTGTTAGTGACCCAGTTTAGAGAGATCTTTCTAGAGTTCATCACAACCTGTGTTTCACCACTCATGAGTAATTTTGTGTTATCCGCAGTCCTGATAGCTCCACTGCTTATCCTTGGCTCCAGGTTTATGAAGTTAATATTTATGTAGTTAAATAGCATCGGCCTCAACGCACATCCTTTGAGAACCCTACTGCTCCATTGTGAGAACCATCTTTGTACTTTATACTCTCGCCTTCCTGTTCTTTAACCGTGTTAGCAGTTCAGATCACCCCCTTATCTCAAGTTAAGTTTACTTTGCCTTTTGTGACACTATAATGGCTGTATGATTTCTCCTATCTGCTGCTTTTGACCCAAATAATTCTAATTGATTTTAGTCTTTTAACTTGATATTCTCTCTCTCTCTCTCTCTCTCTCTCTCTCTCTCTCTCTCTCTCGCACACACACACACACACACACACACACACAATTAGCCAACTTGAAAGTGCTAGTAAAAGGGGTACTATCAGTGACCAATATGTGCATGTTCAGTAATTTCATGTTCTTTCTTTTAAGAACTCTCAGGTAATGTGACTGGGTTGCACTCCAGTGACTTGTTAATTTGTAATTTGTCAGTTAGCTTTAAACATCTTCATTTGTTGCCTGTATTGACACAGCACCTCAGATGCCCTCCAAGATAACAATAGATTCTGATTTGGATCTCTCTGCAGCTTCTACCACAGTGACTAGTGATGCAAAGATTCTGTTTAGCCTCTGCAGTCTCCCTCTCCTTATTCAGTACTTCTTTTACACCTTTCATTAAGGTACTATGTCTCCCTGGTTGGTTTCCTGCACCTGCTGCATTTAAATACATGTTTTGCTCATGCCTTTAGCAGTTTCCTCTTCATTGCTTTAATTGTTTGCTTTCTTGTTGCTTGATCCCCCCCCCCAAAAAAACCCTTGTGTTCTTTATTTTCCTCATTTTAAAAGTGCAGGTAGCCAGTGTAGTACCCTTCAGTTGCTACTGGACTAGAGCTCCCATCAGCCCCAGGCAGCATGACCAATGTTCAGGGGTGGTGGGTGTTGTAGTTAACAACATTTGGAGGGCACCAAGTTGCCTTTTTCTTCACACTGTTGTTTAACCATGATAGTAGCCTGTTGGACTTGTATGCCACAGGTTAGAAAGGGAATGAACATTTTATCCGAGTTTCTATTACAGTGGTTTTAAACAAACTCCAAGGTTACTGAAGGGATTTGGCCATCCTTTCAACTTCCATTTTATGTTTTCAATTCTGCCTGCTACGTAAGTCCTGAGGCGACATCTAGCCATTTTGAAAAACAGGTTGAAGACTAAAATCACACACAAAGCAGGCAACTCGGGGCAGAGTTAAAAGGCATAGCAGCTTCCCGGAGACGAGCACAAGCAAAGGCCTGGGAGCACAAATGTGTTTTTAGAAGTTGCCAAAATGGCATTAACTTTGGCATTTCCCTGAACTCAGAGGGCACGTGGTTCTACAACACGAACACTACCACAGGAAATGTGAAACTACCCAGTTCCAGGAATGTGAATGTGGAGTTGTAGGTGTGCTTCCTCATCCACATTCTCACCCAGTCATGCAGGACTAAAGACAGCTTGAGGTGAAAGTCTCTCCTAGTTGGCAATGAAATTTGCCAGCGTTACAAGACAAACCAGCATTGGCTGGTTGCCTGGGCAAATGGGGTTTATTTTCTCTTTTCTTCCCCTTCCCCTTTCTGTTTCTCCCTCTATCACATGCAGGCTGCTCAGAGGGCAACGAAGTGCCTTTGTTTTCTCTCTTGTATTTAGTCCTTTTGCTAAATCTCACTTGGTGTGTGGTGCTGTGACATCATTAAGTGTGTATATTTGTTAGGTTGCTATGCTCTCCTACAGGTTCCCAGAGCATTTTCTGATAGCAAACTGTGGCTAACTGCATTGCTTTCTTCTTAGAAAATGCTTCATAGTCCATTGCCCCAGATAATTGTTTACTTTCTATTTAAAGATGACACGACAAGGGTCTTGTGTTTGGGTTTCTATAATCTGGTGTAGCGTTCATGGGACTTTACAACCTTTTGGAAATTTGTATTTCTGGTTTTGAATGGGTCTGTATCACCTTAAAAATCAAACAAGTCAAGTACATTGGATGTCACAGAAAAGGGGCCTTGTATTCCTCTAGTCCCTGTGAGGGCAGAAAGGGAGAACCAACATTGGGTGCCTACTTCTTGCTGCTATGGAAATCACTGCAGGGTGTTGGGAGCAAACCAAGGGAAGAATTGGATCCAAATCCTTTTTAGTCCCCTGACACCCTTTAAATCTAGGGAGGAAACTGTCAGCCCCTATAGCTGGCACAGTGAGAGTGCTCCTCCACCTTTTCTCTCACCTTGCTGGCAAGACCTAGCAGGAAAGTAGATGTGATAGTTTGTTTGCTTTCCATTCTCCTTTTAAAAAAAGGATTCCAGCCTCATTGAATTCAACGGGGCTTACATCTCAATAGGCATGCAAGGGATTTGAACTGTCAATGTCTGAATACAGAGGTTATTCCCCCACCCCAGCTTTTCTGGATTACCTGTCATTTTGTTCCTGGCTGCTTCCTATGCTGCTGCAACTTGATTGGCTAACAGCTACATATGTTCCTTTTACTGGTGTGTCAGTTACATGCTAGAGATGTATTAATTTTTTTCCAGGGGAATGAGGCAAAGGAGCCCTTTATCACATGGGACTGTGAGAGAGGATTTAGGGCCTTTTTCCATTATCATAATTTATCCTAATGTGCCCATTAATTCTTTTCCAGAGGACTCTACACAGAAAAGGGAAAGACAAAGTAGGGAAAAGGCTAGTCCATGGGGATAACCAACAAGATTCCCTCCAGACGTTGTTGAACTCCCAACTCCTATCAGCCTCAGCCAGCGTGGCAGTGATCAGTGATGAAGGGAGCTGCAGCTCAACACCCAGAGGACACTACTCTGACTACCCCTGGAATAGACAGTCTAGGGAAGACCATGAGAGCAAGAGAGGGCCAGAGCTGTGAAGAAGGAAGGTAGGAGGCAAATACCCAGCCTGCAGCAACCGTGAGCAATATTTTTCCTTACTATTGTTATTTATATTGCATTATCCATGTACCTGGCATTTCACAAAGGTGCTTTACAATAGACAAAAGGGAAACAGAGGAAGTGGAAGGATATGAGATTGTTTAACATTTAAACTGATGGTGCTACACAGTTGCTGCTGCTTATTTCCCTTGTGGGTGGGCAACAGTTCACTGTTACTTCCTAAGGATTTTTTTTTCTCTTCTAGAGAGGCTTGTACCCCACAGGCAAGAGGAAGGATTAAAAACACAAATGCATGCTTTATACTCCTTTTCCACACACCTTGAACAGGGTTAAGGAAGACCCTTTTTTGTGCTGACTTTTACTATAAAATGAATGAAAGTCCATAAAAAGGTTGGTCTGTTGATAGTGTTTTGGAGGGGAAAACCCAATACAGAATCCAGTGAAGTCATTGTGTGAGTGGAACAGCTTAACACTCGTGCAACTGAACTTTCCCTTCCTTCTCCTCTCCTAGAGGACTCCCTGCACCCTTTGAAATCTGCTGGGGGAAACATCAGAGCAGATATCAGGGGATGTGGAGGGGAAGCAGCTGGAGGAGGAGAGGGAAGGGAAGTTCTGTGGCATGAGTGGAGGTCATTCAGTTTGTGCAGTGACCTTGTTGTATACAAATTTTACTCAGCCTTGCTTTTGACAAGAAAGGAATTCTAGCACTCTTTCAATGGAAGGAAGAGGTTGTTTTAAGTTACCTGCAATAGGAGGTCCAGCGAGGACTGCAAGGCCAGCAATGAATGAGGCATGTCCCAAAGCACTGTGGAATCTGGAGGCTCCTACAAACTCTACCTGTTGAAGCAATCAGTGTTATTTATATGTTTTATAAATATTTTCTACACATTGTCCCCCATTTTGAAAACAGTTTGCATGTTCCCTTCATTTGCATGTTTAGAAATACATTTTTAAAGATAATAATAAAAATAAACCATCTGCAATTAAGCCATAGGTGACCAATCTCTGGCACAGCCAGTAGAGGCTTATGTGATGTGATAGGCACATGGGTCTTTCTCTGGCATAGACTTGGGCGGGGGTGACAAACCTTTTCCAGCCAGAGGGCTACATCCTGACCCTTCACATACCCCAAGGTCTACTTTGACACCTGACTCCCTTATGGTGATGTCAGGTGACAACTTCAAAAGAGCTCACTGTCAGCCCCAATGAGCTTCTTGGTGCCCACAGGGAGTCTCGCTTTTTTCATTTGCAGATTCTGTTTGGATTCAAACTCCACCTACAGATGGAGACTTTTCTGCCGCAGACAGGCATAGCTATCTACAAGGCCAGTCTATAGAGGAAAAATGTCCATTTACAGGTACATAAACTACACTTGCAGCAGATGTGCAACTTCAAATGAGCTTACTGTCAGCAAGCCTCATTTGATGAGGAACAACCTGAAGCACACTTTAAGCTCCAGATCACAACCGTATGTTTATCTATCCCACACTCCTGACCCCATGTATAACATCAGGTGGGTGAGGTTTGGGGAAAATGACTCCACAGAGAAAATTAGGGTCTAATTTGTTCTGTGGGTTGGAAGTTCCCCATGCCTGGACTAGAGTCATATTTCTAGTCCTCCCTGTTTATCCAGTGTTGTACCACTGCATTCTCCCCAACTCAATATATAATATTTGAGGTCAAACCAACCCAAGGACTATAAATGTATGTAGCTTGCAGTAGAATGGAACAGTCTCATATTTTAGACCTGTGACATGCTTGCTAAAAAAGATTGGCTACCACAGGTTTAATCAATCTGAAATTAGAAGGGATGAATAGGAAGGGGATGATTTTCAGCAGGGAGAGGAAAGGGCAATCTAGACTGGGAGAACATATCATATCAGAGCCCTACAACTGACCCCCCTGCCCAAGTCAAAGGGGTTCAATTAAGCACATTTTCAAAAGTGTGACAGAAGTCATGTGTAATTTGGTTCTGAGGCCGTACAGAAGACTTGTTTAATTAATGCTTTGGAGGCAGAGTCGCAGACTCAAAATGCATTGGGTTCAATCAAATAGATCTTCAGAGCATCTGTAAGGTTTTCTCTCATGTTCCTATGTTTAAATGGAGCCTCAAGTATATCATGTTCAAAGCATTTTTAATTTTCTGGTTTGTCCTCTGTGTATTGAAGTAGGTGAAAGTTTTGGATGGGCTGTGCTTTATAATAATTCTGGATCGCCTTGCTGTTAGCCTTTTGATGATTAATTGCTTTCTTCTGCTTACCAGTACAGGAAGTATCAGAGCCAAGTATCCACCACTGAAAATGGCAAAGCCTACAGAATAGGTCATAAGTAATGGGAAGGTTGTGGCAAGAGGACACAGCAGGTTAGTGACACCACAAAAAATGAGGTACATCTTGTGGTAATGATACTTCTTGATCCAGTTCTGATCTGCAATCCAACCAGAGAGCAAAAGGCTGACTGTCTCTGTTATACCTAAAGGGAAGCAGAAAAATAATGAATTTTCAAACAGAATTTATGTAGTAGAAGCTTTGAAAAACACAGATAAAAGGTCAGAAAGGAAAGAGTTTGTACCCTCCTTTTATTTCTGTAAAATACATGTGAAAATTCAAAATTTCAAGCCCAGAGGTTGGTGGCAGTTTACATGGGAAAAAAAGAATGTTATTTTACTACCTTTTATTTCTTTAACATTTAATATTTCCTTGCAGAGATCTAATACTTTTTTTAAAAAAAATTAAAATATCCTCCCAAAATAAAATAAAAACAGCTCAGGAAACTTTCTGTCTTTTTTATGCCACTTCTAATTTAGCTTACTACTTGGTATTCTTATGAAAACATCAGTGGCTCACATTGATTGTTTTTGTTTTTGTTCAGGACTAATTTGTTGATCTGCTTAATTGAAAGGTAAGTGCCATCCATTAGAATTTTGTATTTCATTACTACTAATCACCAACAGTGATGTCCTGGTAATCTACCCATGGGGGGGGGTCTCAGGAATTTCCAGATTGTTATATGCCATTTGTGAAATATTTTATGAACAAATACTAAAAATATTTTCAAAGCCCTGGCTGTCTTTCCCCCTCCTTTCATTTTACAACAAAGTATACTGGCTGCAGTCTAGCAAACTTGTTTATGTAGAAGGTTACATGTATATATGCAGCCAGTTTCTTTGTGTTTTGTTTTTTTGTTAAGAGAAAGTTTGCACATTTGAAATTATGGCCATTTGTATCCCTGCTCAGTAACTAGCTTTCTTAAAACAGTCACTTAGTTGCATGCAATTGCTGGGTTAGGGCCCAAGTCTCCAACTCCTACGTCTCAAAATTGCTTGCTGACAAGCACATTTGCCACAGATGTTCCTCCTTTCATATGCCACTCTTGGCCTTGGTTGGCAAATTTCAGATTGGAGGGAAGGGGAGTATTTTGGGTGGGTGACTGGATTTGGGCTTGGAAAGTCTACTTGCTGATCCCTATTATGTATCATTGTCTTACAATGGGAGACAATGGCTTCATTTAATAAAGTCTTTTTAATTACTGGAGTTTGTTTCTTATTTCATAATACAATATCAAATGGGGAGGGGAACAGATTCTGTTCAGAACAATTTACTTAGAAGTTGATTAAGACACATTTTAAAAAATAGATGAGGTGGCAGATTAAACACACCAGTTGGCATATAAAACACACATTAGAGACAAAGAGATGAGATATATTCCGTTATTCAGTGTATTGTATTTACTATTAACAACACTCTTTTACATTCTTGATGGCCGCAGCGCACCAGTGTCAATGTTTCTAGGGAGCTATTTATTAATCCAAAATCATATTCAGTTTTTCCCAGGATCATTTCTGTTGTGTTGTAATTTTTTTTATCCATTCTTGTATTGTTATGAGATCTTTTTATAACTAATATTTTGATTTCATACTTAAAAACAACAGGTCTTTGGGTTGTTGTTTTTAATAGAGTTGTATGTTGAGCCATAAGCAGTGTTACATTTCTTTTCTACAGGAATTAGTTTCTCTTCACCCAAAGTGAATTATTAGTGAAGCTGTCGTGCAGAGATCTTAAGAAAGCCACTTTAGAAGTTGAGTTTTTCTTACCAGCCATTGAAATGATGTAAGCAGTATCCATTGGCTCGATGCCCAGTGTTTTAGCTCTGGCTGCAAGGTGGAAAGTGGGGATAAAGTAGGCTAGCTGGCTGAAGAGAAAAGACCATGTGAAAATGTAGAAGAAAGGGTTTTTTAGCTGGGAAAAATCAACATGGCATTGCTTGCAAGAAAAAGGCTGTGGCTTGGAATTTCCCTCCTTGTTTGTTGGAAAGCAGTTTTGATTACCATTCCGACTGGGATGTTTGTTTTTGTGGCTCCCGTTCTCTGGCACTTCAGAACACTTGTCGTTTTCTGGGGCTAATTGTAGTCCAACATGCTGTAGATTGTTCATACTGATGGATTCATGATCAAGGGGATCTGCTCTGTTCGGTTCTGTGGTGCCAGTTTTATCTTGGCTGTCTTCAATTGTCTCTACAATTTTTAGGTGCACAGGTGTTTGTTTGTCTTCGTGTTTAATACTTACAACTTTCTTTTTCATCATGTTAATCGGTCGTAGTAGCATGCTAGAAGGAACAAGGTTCAACATCACGCCACCATATATCAGTAGGGCACCTAAATGGTTAGACAGAGATTGAGATGTGACATTCTGCTGCAATAACAGGGAAATAGAAATGTTAATAAATTCTATTAGCACCCCCTCTGAAGGAACATTTTGGTGACTTTCAGAGGGTCTAAAATAAGCTAATTTTCAGTCATGCTGGGAAAATTGGCATTCTTTAAGGCAAGATATCAGAGGCTTTTCTACTTCCTTCCCAGGACTCCCCAAGGAGTCTTCTTCCACTTGCAAAAGGTTTTCCTGGCTACGGAGATCATTTGGGCCTCTAATGGCGGATGTATTCCGCAAAGCTATGCGCTTGTTCCTTTCAGGAGCAAAGCACACTCCCTCAGTGCTGCTCTCTGGACTTGACCATGCAGATGGGAATGACTCTACTAATAAAGTGCCTTCCTGACCAGGAAGATACCATGGTCAATAGTATAAAAAGCCACCGAGAGATTGAATAAGAGGAGCAGGGTTGCACTCCCCTGTCCCACTCTGAAAGCCGATACACATAAGGTTGGAATTACAATGAAATGTGGGAAGTGAAAGCTACCAACCTTGCCATCCATACGTTTCTATCAGGACTTGAACAAATGGTGTTAGTATAACACTCAGTCCCATTCCTGAACGGCCAATTGCATTGGCTAGAGCCAGGCGTTTCTTGAAGTACTTGACAATCATCACAGCTGCTACCTGATACAAGCTAGCAAAACCCAATCCTAAAATGAAAAGAAACACATAAGAAAGATGCTCCTTCTCCTGGGCCCATCCGAAGGGTGGTAGGCAACCCTAGATTTGGGTGGCACACAACGAAAGGAGAAGGAGGGAAGCTTCTGTCGTACAGGCTCAAGTTATTGAGCGAGTGGAACTATTTTGTTGAACTATTTTGCCCAAAATGCAATATCTTGATATTTTAATAAGCACACACACACACATTCAATTTCAAAAGTAATCTTAAGAGCTGACAAAACGAACTCCAGATGATGTCTTTCTCACCTTCAATGTATTTTTTTTTTTTAGGGCATGTGCAACAAAACATTTTTGTCTACCTAGTGGGTCACATATGAATGAAAGGGGGCACTTGCCTGTAGGTGCCTCCAGTAGCCCAACAGGTAGAGTAGCTCCCTTTGGTTATCCATAACTTTTTCTAAATTGGGCCCTGTCTCTCAGCAGTGCAGGGAGACCAAAAATAAACAAAATTCCCCCAACCCAACATTAGCCTGACTGTTACTCAGTTTTTCTATTTCCAGTTAGACTTTTCTGTTATTGTGGCTGATTTTTAAAAATATGGTCAAGGTAAGCTCACCTGTCAGGAATCCCATAGACACACAAAGAAAGGGGATGTTTGTGGCCAATATGCTGATAAGACAACCAATGCCAACCAGGCAAGCCCCAATCACTGATGCTGGTCGTTCTCCTATAATTTCACATACTACGGTTACCAGTGGTGCTGCAACAGAGAAGAAAAACAGCTTCATGGTGGCTTGGGGAAAGGGGTACAACTGGCAGAAGGAGAGACATTTTTGCCAGTTTTAGGGAATATTGAACCTGGCATATGCTTAACTTTTGGAAACTATATAATAGAGCTGTCAGGAGAATGTTTTCTGCTGCCTAAACAGAGCTGAGAGAAAAAAACTTGCTTCAACATGGCTGATGAGAGTAGTCCTTAATATTAGTGGAGTTACTTATCACATGTGTATCCTCTTTTCTGCACCGAGTTCAGAGTCGTATGCATGGCATTTCCCCTTCCTATCCTTCTGTGTGAGATAGATGAGGCTGACAGACAGTGATTAACCCAGTAAGTTCTGCAGGCAGCATGAAGATTTCAGTTCAGGTGTCCCCATTTTAAGTCCCGCACTATCCACTACATCAGGGGTGGCCCAAAGGTGGTCTGGGATCTACTGGTTTATCTCTGGGCAATTTGTGGGAAACCAGCAGCTGTTTATGTCCTTCCTTGCTCCACTGGGGAGACCTTAGGGTTCTAGGAAAAAATGAAGTTGTTCCCCTAAACCTGAATTTTGCCACCATATTGACAGTGTGGATGCCGTTGATGTGTATTTTTCTAAACAGTAATTTACACATTGTCTGTTCTTACATCCTGGTCTTAGATGCTTCTAAGCTTTCAAGTGTTTTCAGGACGGCTGTATACATAGGTTAATGACAGTAGTTACTTAGGCTTTTCTTTCTTATTGTAAGCAACTCATGGTACAGCAAACAAATGCCGTACATGTGTAAAAAGTACCACTAAAAGTGTTTCGGGACTATTCAAATAAAGTATTTCTTCACCAAGTCAACCGTATTTGTGCTAACCTGCTAGGAATCGAAGTGAGGACATGATAGAGCCAATCCAGCTGATTTGTTCAGAAGAACCGCCAACATGCTCTTGAAAGGCCACAAAGAAAATGGCAAAGTTTTTCGCTGTTCCCATTGTAGATACATTTACCTTAAAAGAAACAAAACATCCAGTAAAATTGAAGCACATGTATTGCCTGCTGCCACTTGTAACTACCCTACAGAATGTAGCATTTTCCATTTTTAGAATAACACCTGTTATTCCCTGGGCAAATTTGTGATGGCCTTTAACTTTGGATCACTCACAGTTGATATGAAACTAAATGAAATGGTGCTGAACTCCAGTGAGATTTCCCAAGTCCAGAAATTAGCTGACCTAGGAGAAAAAGTAGCCTGGGAGGAGAGGGATGGGAAGAGAGGGATGGATGGTGCAGCATCCCTCCCAACTCTCCACTTCTCATTCCCTGACCCATCCACTGTGCTCAATTTATGGCTTTTAAGCAAGCATTGAAAGACACAGATTTGCAGCTGGTGGTCTAATTCCATCCTGGCAAATTGAAAGGGAATTTTTGTTATGCTTGAGTATTGAAAGTGTCCCATAGGCTGCCCAAGGAAGTTCCCAAGGGGGAGAGTTCTTACTGGGAATGGCTTTAGTAAGAGCGCCCTGTCAGTGCAGACCAGCACTGAAAAGGAGCCCTACTTGCCAAGGAGCAATTGGGAGCAGACTTTTAAGCTCAAGGTTGCTCCTTTTCAGCCATGTCTTTACCTGCCTACATAGGTTGTCCAGTGTTGGGTACATGGGTCTGGTCTGGGGAAATGTCTCACAGGCCATATTGGGACCCCTGCTGGGTCTGAGGTCTGATTATAAAATGTTAGGTGGGAGATTTATTCTCATGGCGTGCACCCCTCCCCTTAATGTTTCTTTCTTGGCTATTAATATGTTTTGGGGGGTTGAGCATTCAAATTCTATTCCCCCCCCCCGCTGCCCCCAAAGTGGCATTCAACTAAGAAGAGGAATTTGGACTTGATATCCCGCCTTTCACTCCCTTTAAGGAGTCTCAAAGCGGCTAACATTCTCCTTTCCCTTCCTCCCCCACAACAAACACTCTGTGAGGTGAGTGGGGCTGAGAGACTTCAGAGAAGTGTGACTAGCCCAAGGTCACCCAGCAGCTGCATGTGGAGGAGCGGAGATGCGAACCTGGTTCCCCAGATTACGAGACTACCGCTCTTAACCACTACACCACACTGGCTCTCAGTGGTTGCATGCATGGAACAAAGTCCACCTGTGCAATGGAACGCGACCCCTATGTACCCCCTGCATTCCCTTAAATTTGTGGGGAGGGTTAAGAAACCCCAGAAAAGTCTTAGGGTGCACATAGGGGATGAGGAAGTCTTATTGCATGTGTGGACCACATTCCCTGTGCAAATACCCCCATTTTTTTTACATAAAATGCCATATACATAAAGATGAAGGACTGTAGCTCAGTGGCAGAGCATTAGTCTCCCATGCAGAAGATCTCAGGTTCAGTCCCTGGTGTCTCCTGCCTGAAACCCTGGAGAGCCTCTGCCAGTCAGTGTAGAGAATACTGAGCTGGTCCGGTATAAGGCAGCTTCCAAAGTTCCAAAACCAAACCTCCACAGACTTTGTCACAATTCTTACTTACCAGAAAAAAGTTAAGCATAATCATCCACCCCCAGCCTCCATCGGGAGCTTCTGCACCGTCGTGTTGTTTGGTGCTTTCTTCAGCTTCTGGCTCACTCTCTGTTCTCTCCATTCCTGCTGCAGATTTGAGCTCCAGCAAGTAGCTGCAATTGACTTTGTTAAAGGGCTCTTACACCCAAAAGATAATAGTCCACATTGCTGACAAACCCTCAAAATAAAAGCTGCCATTGCTGCTTTAACACGGTCTGCAGTTTTTCAACTTAAACATTAACCCAATGTTTTTAAACACTAAAACGGTGGTATCACCCTAGTGAACAAGATGGACCTCTTAATTTTACTGCCTTTCTAGTTGTTTTTACTGCTTTGACATTAAAAGAAAAATATATCAGAGTGGTTTTGTTTTTTTAAAGCTCTGTGGCGGTTAAGGGGTATGTTTTATCAGCTAAAACTTTTGCAGCAAGATCCTTCTGCTTGACAAGGGAAGCCTCGGAAGTAAATGTCAGAACCTGACCTGTATTGTGAGTCAGACAACTGCTGCCTCTCAGGGAAAAGGCTTCTGAATCGACCCTAGTACATCCTGGGCAGGAAATAACACAAAAAGGCTTGTCTCCATAGTGCTTTGCTGAAGCCTGGGCTCTAGCATGTCTTGCATGCTTTTTAATTCAAACTCCAGGTTTCCCTTTCATCTTAATTGTGCTTTGGTCTCAACTCTTTGTTTCAGCATACACCTGGTGAGCCAAAACTTCAGGCATCCAGTAGGCATTAGTTTAAGGAACAGCCCCAGCACCTGAAAAGAAGGCTTGTTGCAGAGGACAAGAAGCAGTTGCTGTTCTTCTGCACAGGCTTTTTAAGCAACTGCTTGCTGCCTCAGCTAACTTCTACTAGGCCCTGCTTATTTACTAGCTTCCCCTGCTCAAGTCCCTCTCCCCACCAAGGTGGGCTAACAGCAGAGGCAGGAGCCTGGCCATGCCTCCCACATTCTTAATTCCTTCCTGCTAGAGGGTTCAGGAGCAAGGCAGGATTCATTTATACAGAATCGTTGAATTGTAGAGTCAGAAGGGACCACAAGGGTCATCTAGTTCATGAGTAGGCAAACTTAAGGCCTGGGGGCCGGATCCATCCCAATCGCCTTCTCAGTCCGGCCCACGGACTGTCTGGGAATTAGCGTGTTTTTACATCAGTAGAATGTGTCCTTTTATTTCAAATGCATCTCTGGGTTATTTGTGGGGCCTTGCCTGGTGTTTTTACATGAGTAGAATGTGTGCTTTTATTTAAAATGCATCTCTGGGTAATTTGTGGGGCATAGGAATTCGTTCATTTCCTCCCCCCACCCAAAAAAAATATAGTCCGGCCCACCACACGTTTTGAGGGATGGTGGACTGGCCCACAACTGAAAAAGGTTGCTGACCTCTGTTGTGGGGCATAGGAATTCATTCAAAAAAAAAATTCAAAATATAGTCTGGCCCCCCACAAGGTCTGAGGGACAGTGGACCAGCCCCCTGCTGAAAGTTTGCTGACCCCTGTTCAACCTCCTGCAATGCAGGAATCTTTTGCCCAACATAGGGCACGATCCTGAGATTAAGAGTCTCATGCTCCACTGACCGAGCGATCCCTTTTGTTCAGTGTTCCATTTTAAATGCCTGCCTGCAGCTGTAGAAGCTATAAAGAGAACCTACAGTCCCTACTAGGAAATGTGTGTTTGGACTAGTTATGCAATGTTCTTTGGTATGAAAGTAAATAATTGCAAAATAACCGTGACAGGTCAAAACACTGGCCATTTCCTCTTAATGGCTCCGTTGTACCTTTAAAATAAGAAACCCTGCATGTTTGAAGGTCAGCAGCTGAAACCTAGCTTCAGAGGAAGCCCTCTGTACCCTGATTATAAGAGTCTTGATATCATTGGCGAAAACAAGGTCTTTTTTCCTACAAGTGGATTGAGCCAGTGCCCCTTCATTTTACAGCAGTTACATCCAAAATACAAGTTGGATTGTATTTTTCATGCAGTGTATGATGCACAAGGTAAGGCCATTTAATCATATAATTGTCTCAATATGCTCATAAGTAACCACCTTTAGATGGTACTATTGCTACTATTTCAGTCCCTTTCCACCACAACATATATTATCTATATCCCTTATATATATGCACAATGGGTAGAGATGCATACATAAAAGGAATATAGATAAACAGCACCATATTCTAAACAGAGAGCATGTTCTTTCTCAACTACATAGGTATAAGTATGTCATCTACTAAACAATAATTTCTTGTAGTAACTACCCATCGAGAGAGAGCAAGGTATGCATGGATTCTGTGCATATTTTATAATTACATCTCAAAGCAGGTGCAGGCATATGATAGACTCCTCATATTATTCAAATAATCGGATTTACTCAGGCTTGTAGAGTATGTAGAGCCAGTGTGGTGTAGTGGTTAAGAGCGGTAGTCTCGTAATCTGGGGAACCGGGTTCGCGTCTCCGCTCTTCCACATGCAGCTGCTGGGTGACCTTGGGCTAGTCACACATCTTTGAAGTCTCTCAGCCCCACTCACCTCACAGTCTTTGTTGTGGGGGAGGAAGGGAAAAGAGAATGTTAGCCGCTCTGAGACTCCTTAAAGGGAGTGAAAGGCGGGATATCAAATCCAAACTCTTCTTCTTCTATGATTTGAAACTGCAGAAGCAGCTATCAGAGGCTCAATAACAAGGAGCCTGTGTAGAATGTCAACTACTTCACATGGTGTTTTCCAAACTTGGCCCGCCCATCATCCCTAGCTAGCAGGACCAGTGGTCAGGGATGATGGGAGTTGTCCAAAACTAGCTGGAGACCCAGATTTGGGAAACACTCGATTAGATTAAAAAGGGAAATGGAGCAGAGGGTAATGAACCTTGGCATACTCCACACAACTGCCACAAGGGACCCACTTTCCAGAACCTCCCTACCAGGTAGGAACAATCAGGACAGCTTCGAATCCAAACCCAGACAGATGGTCCAGGAAAATATGGTTAATAAGGAAAGGTTGAAAGGAGAATTAACAGGATCACCTTCATCTTGTATTTTCTGGCATAGTAATTTGCTAGAGCAGCCAATACATTTTACTTCAACTGGGATGGAAGCTAGATTGAAAAGGATTCTGTTAGTAAAATTGCAGAGTTTCGAGAAACTGAAGTTTAAGGTGAGAGATTGGCTACATTATCGACAGATAAATGAAGTATTTAAACAGGACAGAAAGAAAGGCTTCCAAGTGGAGAAGTCAAAACTAGAAACAGAACTGTTAGAACCCAATACTAAAAACTTGTCAAGAATGTACAACTTGCTGTTGAAATGGAATACTCAAGATGAAATGGTGAAATCTAGTATGATTAAATGGGCACAGGATATAGGGCATGACATTGAGCTTGCTGACTGGGAGCAGTTATGGACCACTGGTGTTAAATTTACGGCATGTAATGCCTTAAGAGAAAACATTATGAAAATGATCTACAGGTGGTACATGACTCCGGCTAAGTTAGCAAAGATTTATCATCTGCCCAATAACAAGTGTTGGAAGTGTAATGAAACGGAGGGAACCTTCTATCACCTTTGGTGGACCTGCCCGAAGATTAAGGCTTTCTGGGAAATGATCTATAATGAAATTAAAAAAGTTCTGAAGAGAACTTTTAATAAAAAGCCAGAAGCCTTTCTCCTGGGTATGGTGGGCCAAATGGTGCCAAAGAAGGATAGGACATTTTTTATGTATGCCACAACAGCAGCAAGAATCCTTCTAGCAAAGTATTGGAAGACACAAGATCTACCCACGTTGGAAGAATGGCAGACGAAGGTGATTGATTATATGGGACTGGCAGAGATGACTGGCAGAATTCGAGACCGGGGGAAAGAGGCGGTGGATGAAGACTGGAATAAATTTAAAGTTTATCTTAAAAACTGTTGTAATTTGGAAAATTAGAGGATCAGGGTAATAAGAGACAAAGAACTACAGTTGTTTTAATATCTTATGGAAGTTAAATTTATGAAATAGAAATAAGTTTAATACAAAAGGGTTGCTGAAAAATCTTGAAACAAGAATGCAGAAAAGGGGTGGTACGGGGAAGTCGTTTATGTGTTTTATCTATGTTTTTGCTTTGTTTTCTTTTTTACTTATGGAAAATCAATAAAAATTTATTTAAAAAAATAAATGAAAAGGATTCTGTTATGTGTCATGGCTATCCTGCTGCCCTTCATCCTAGGACTAGGTTGTACTTGAGATAGTGTTCTGATGAACACAACCCCACATTCCACACTTGACATGAGTCCCTACACTATTTTCTTACACACTGTAGTCATGTGCCTTTTTTTAGAGTTAAGCTTCTGGCTCCATTAACACTTTCCACCAGTTAACCTATGGCAGAGTTTGGTCTGAAATGTATTGGTCCTCAGGACTCCAGAGGGGATTTTGATTTGTTTGTTCTTATGATATCCTAAATGCTAGATGTATAGGTCTCTGGAATTAGAACATAAAATCGAGAATTGTAGAGCTGGAAGGGATCACGAGGGTCGTCTCGTCCAACGAGGGTCGTCTCGTCCAACGAGGGTCGTCTCGTCCAACGTCCTGCAGTGCAAGAATCGTTTGCCCGTGGAGCTCGAACCTGCAACTCTGAGATTAAGAGTCCCATGCTGTCAGGGGCTCAGGAGCAGAGGCACAGGAAAGGGAGGAAATAGAGAGCGAGGGGGAGGAATCCGAAGGAAATGTTAGCGATGACAGCGGTCCGAGGTCTCTGAGTCTTTCCAGCGAATCGGAAGATTCACAGAAAGGGGCTCCCCTGGTCAGAGCAAGGGGGGTGCCTAGGGGGACACCCCAGGAAGAAGGGGCCAGAGGGGACTCAGAGAGCAGCAGTTGGAAATCAGGACCAGCTTCCCCACCAGAGCGCAGTAGGGGGGAGGAGTCCCAGGTATCGGGATCAGGAGGCTCACCGCCAGCAGGAGGAGAGGAGTCAGGATTGGCCACGCCTCCATCGGAGAGCGAGGAAACGGTCAAGAGGAAGGTTGAAGGCTGGGCGCGCGCGCCAAGTTCAAATGTACAGGAGGGCGGCGCAGTTGGCAGCCCGGATAGGGAGCCAGGTCCCAAAGCCCGCCGAAAGGAGGGGGAGGAGTCAGGGGGGTCAGCGTCAGAAGAGTCCAGAAAGGAGGAGACCCCGGGGGGCAGAAGGACCCAGAGAAGAAAGGAGAGACGGAAGAGGTGGAGTAAGGTTAGAGTCTTAAGCTGGTGTACAGGGGGTGGAGACTCAGATGGAGCTTCGCCGGTCTAGCCTCTAAGACGTAGAGCTGGGCGCTGCGGCTTGAAAATGGAAACTGTACTTCAATAAAGACTTTTGTACATTACTACCGGCTAGCGTTGGTCCTCTGTGAGCTGGGACCTGGAGCCAGCTCTGACACATGCTCTACTGACTGAGCTATCCCTGATTCATGAAATAGCCAGGTTTACTATCAACCCTGTATGTATCTCTTGATCAGCTAGTGGAATTCAAGAAACTCAGAAGAGAGAGCTTTAAAGATGGTAGCTAATATAATAATAATAATAATAATAATAATAATAATAATAATAATAATAATAATTTATTATTTGTACCCCGCCCATCTGGCTGGGTTTCTGCTAACAAGCAGATGACACAAAACAGTTTGTCTGATTAGCCATGCAACTATTATGGTCAAGTCCCTTTTAAATATGTGATTGTTAGTTTTGTACATAGAAGGCAGCTCAGTATAGAAAACAACTGCATTTTCTTAAGACAACTAAGTGTCATTGCCTGGCTAGACAAACCAAATAAAACAACATTAAGTCAAACGGTAGTGAACAAGCAGTGTGTTCTAGTTTGTTTATTTATTGATTTATTGAGTATTGGGGCCACCTGACAAGGTGCTCTCCCCAGCCATGTAACAGGAAAACATTCCACACATGATAATATGAAATGGTACAAGTTCAGAGCAATTAAGATTCCATACCAACTTGGGAGAATGTTTACAGTCCAATCCAGCTAGGTTCTACCTAGTGATACTGGATATTCAACCTGTATTAATCTGTAGAAGAGTAGTCCACAAAGGTGCATAAATGTTGAAGAGCAAGGAGTATTGTGGATGTATAACGTTAAGATGCCATTTTGTGTACTGCTACTGTGATGCCATCATGCTTCTGGATCATGATATTGCTGAAAGAAACAGAAGGTTTGTTTTTAAACACACCATTTTCATAGAATGAAACAAGTCCCAAATGTTAACCAAAATAACTGCAGCACCTGTTGTTGCCTATAGATTTGTTGCTTTTCATATCACAAATAGATTCTCTTCGCTTGTCATCATTAGTAATACATCTCTAGACATTTTGATGACACCCGTTTAATCACCATTATTTCAAATATTAGCAAAATCAGGTAGACTTTAAACCCATAATTATTTATTAAACCTTTTTCCTTGTAAACCTTATCAGTGCCCTGTTTGGGCATTGGCGCTACTCACATGTTGACCAACATGGGAGTTGGGGTGCATCACTACCTTTAGAGCCCTTCAATTTGAGGCTCCACGCACACACAATTTAAAGCCCTGTGCAACTGGAGATCTAAATCCACAGGGAGACTCCGTAAGTAGAAGCTTCCCACCTCAGACCTTCACCTTCAAATTCATGGAAGGCTCCAAATGTGGTCATTGTGGCATGCTGGAGGGGACAAGGCTTGGAAGCACACCCCTGCTTACAAGAAACTTAACGCTTAAACCAGCCTTATATTTGTGAACTAGCCTGGTACCCATTTCATGCAGGCAACTGAGTGAACTGGCAGAGGAGGGATGGTACACTCCATCCCTCATCAGTGCCCAACACAGAATGCAGCTCTTCACCCCTGCCAGCCCCAGGCAGACTAGTAACTGGGAGGTGTATTTACAAGGCTGCACTAAGTATATGTTTAAAGCCTAAAATTAATCCTACAGAACTCCAAAGTCAGTGAAGCCACATGCACCAAGGAAGAATCTTTCAATTTATTCCATGATATCAGCATCCTAAACAGATGATCCTATTTCCTCTTATGTTTGCCACAACCCATTAGCAGAAGAGAGCAAATTATTCCATAGCAGAGGGGAAACTACAAGGACGAGGCTCTTGCAACATGCCATATGATCAAATAGCTAAGAAAAGTAGGAAGAACAATAACCTACTTCCCAGCTACACTGAGAGCCTGATGGCAAAACACATTAACTGAGGCTAGTTAAGATCTTTGTGTCTTCTTCATTTTTGAGAGTACTTTTGCAAGTCGGCTCAAATTCCAAGAACAAAAGATCAGAAATTGAAGCTGTTCTTTCCAAACAAGTTACCAGGCACATGGAAGACAGAACCCAGAGAACAGTAAGAATTAACCAATTTATCCATATGAGAAGGCAACTTAAGCAATGGGCCTGTCATGTCAGTTAATTTGTCTTAAGTAAAGGAAGTAATAGTTCCAAATACACATACCCAGTATCTGATTCGAGGCACACTACAGGAATATCTGTTGGATCAGATGTCAATTTGGCTGCTTGCTGGGCTAGAACAGATATCACACCTGCATGTTCATCTGAGAGGGTACCACGACCTAGAAGACAATGGTTTATCATTTAAAATGAGTAAAGAAATACAGGATGTGGTCAGTTCAGGGATGCAAAACAAAAAAATGCTGACTGAAAAGGGGGAAACCAAATGTAGTCCTTAACCAGAGAATTTTCAGTTCCATAAACTGAAATAATAACAAAGAATGGATGCCAATTGCAGTATTATGGAAGCTTGGCAGTTACAAAGTAAAAATTAATATTTTTCAGGCAATCATCCAAGTGCTAGCATTTTACATTTTTATGAATATTTTTACACAATATAACATTTAAACCACATTAAATGGGCTCTTAATTTCCCCTATCAAATATTTCAAATTAAATATATAAAAGTACTGAGACAAAAAATCTGAAAGTACTGAGGGTTTTTTTTAAAGCTTTGTTTACTTAATATATGTAAAATAAACATACTAAGTTGCATCACTCTCTAAGGCAACAAAAAATTCCTGATGCAATTTAACCTAATGGGCAATTTTTTTCCCCAAATAAAAAATATTTAGAAAACCCAAATAACTATTCCTTTCCTACTTCTTCTGCCCTTCTTCCTCACTCCCATTCCATATCCCATTTTAGCAACCTTTCCCCATATTTCCTTTCCCCCCTGCCTGCCCGCTATCTGACAGTCTGACTTGTTTACAGCTGCTAGGGAATGGTTAAGTGAAGGCCAAGAAGGTCTCAGACATAAGGAACATCTGTCAAGTTTTCTAGGACACAGAGATTTTATAGAGGCAGCCTTAAGAAACAGAGCCACTTGAGGAAGAAAGATGATATGCAAGATCTGTTAGTGTTGTTGCATAAGAAAGTGAAGAGCGTGTGCATAGGGGGTTAAGGTATAAATGAGCTGAATCAAGAGAGGAGGAGAACTAAGTCCCTGCCTTGCCAAAGTGATCCCTGTGTCATCACTTTTACAGGTCACCTTTAAAGAAAACTAATAGCAGCAAGAATTTTGTAGCTGTGTTGGGTTAGTGATTATTAACTAGCAGTACATTTTAATTTGTCAAGCCTTCACAAATCTTAAATAGAGGTGTTCAGAAGATAAAGGAGCATCCATTACTGATTTACTTGAAGCTAGCTGGCTGATCTAAAGTCACTCACTATAGCTGTGCACTTTAGAACTGTGCAATACAAGGAGATTGTATTAAGTTGTACAAGTCGTCTAGACAGCAATGCAACTACCACATAAGCAAGCAATAAGAGGTCTCTTATTAGACTCTCTTTGCTGTTAATGCTATAACTACCAATCTGACTTTTAAATAATTTCTTTTTATATACAGCACTTTAGATTAAAACAAGGTTTTAATCATTGCCTAATTTAAACTAGTAAAAACGATGCTCAGAATTTATGTAGATCTCTCTTCAGGCACCATCTTGAGGACATTTGGCAAAAAGGGAGGATGTAGATGCCACAGACACATTTATCACCACTTTTCAGCTACATAGATAACTATTATGCACATACACCCAACCAGTACTTTTTTTCTAAAAAAAATGTTTAGGGGTACTCTCATTTTCCTAGTCATATACTGCCCCTCAATGAGGCCAAACTTAGATTCACAAAATGTTTAGGGGTATGCGTACCCCCAGAAAAAAAGCACTGCACCTAACACCAGCCACCCCACTAAGTTCCCAGTTGTGGACAAGCGTCTCATTTTGGTAAAGAAACCGTCTGGGTTTCTGCTCTTACCCAAAAAGCGTATCTCATTAATGCAATAAGAGACCAGGCTAGGTGCTTGAAGAGCTCTACCTTGGTCTGAAACTAGGAGGAGACGAGAGGAGAGAACAAGTTGAGGGAGAACCACAGAGGAAGGCAAGGGATCTTCAAGGGGGTAGCAAGCTATTTTTTAAAACACAGGCAGCATCTTGGACGTCATGGGAACATGCGACAACAAGGTGTCGGCGTTACTTACAGCCCAGGTTGAGGCCCTGGGAATCGGTGCACAGGACTCCTGCAATGGAGGGGTTCTTCATTCTAACGGAGGAGGAGGAAACGGCAGAGATCAGCGACTGCTACTGTACCGGATGCACCCGAGGAGAGAGCCGCGTCACCCTCCCCGCCGCCCCACGACTCCGACGGCCCTGTGGCAAAAGGGAGAAGGGCCGCCCACCGCCTCCCTCCCTCCCCAGCACCTACGTGTCTTCTAAATGATGCTCCAACGCCCCCTCCATCTTGCCGAGCACAACGATCACTTCCGCATGCGGGAGTGGTTTTTTTTGTCAGCTGACTTGTAATCACATGATGGCAAGGGGCTGGTACGGTGGCTCATCAGGGTCAGAATTCCTGGAGGCGAAGCGTTAGCTGATGGGGCTGCATGTGTTTAAACGCCGGGTCGGCTCTCGCGAATCACAAGGGGATGAAGGGTCCTTCCTTTTCCTTTTAGGAGCAGGTCCACCCGTGGAGCTTATTTCCCAAAGAACGTGTTTAGTAACGGAGTGTCACTGAACTTCATACCACAGTCCTTCTTTGTTTACGAGCCTGTTTATTTTTATCCTGTTTTTTCGGGCAAGTGTTGTCGCCAAAATCCGCTCACATCAATAAAACGGAGGCCAGACCCTGACACCAGGCGTGCAGATTTAAAGGATTTTACTCTCAGGAAAGGGGAGTGGCTGGAAAATGTAGGAAAGATTCTTAAGCCCCAAAGTAGAGAGCTGTAAACGGAGATTTTTTTTTTTATCTGTTTCAGGCCAGGTGGCTGATACTCAGTGCATATAAGCTAAACAAGCTATAGCTTAGGGCCCCACTTATGGAGGCCCACCAAAAATTTAAAAGTATTTCACTATTAATATTCTTCTTCTTAATTGTATTTCAGTTCAACAGTTATTTTGATAAAATACATACTTTGTTATGTGCAAATGGATTTATATACCTATTAGGTCCATACATTACCATATAGCAGACATGTCCAAAGTCTTTCTCGGGGGCTTAATCCGGCCTGCCGGTCGGTTTAACCTGCATAAACGTTGACAGCTATGTTAATCTGGTCAAAAAAGCTCAACAACTTCAATCCTAAAAAAATGTCAAGAACTTTGGATGGCCCTCATGCATGTTCACTTCATCAAATCTAGCCCTCTTTGAAAAAAGTTTGGGCACCCCTGCCATATAGTATATATTCAACACAAAAAAAACCTTCATGGATCACTGCCTTGCCGTGGCGAAGGGGCTTGAAGAACTCAGAGAAGCTATGAACTACGCCAAGCAGGGCACACAAGATGAACAGGTCATAGTGGAGAGTTTTGGACCAAATGTGATCCACCTGGAGGAGGAACCGGCAAGCCACTCCAGGATCCTTGCCAAGAAAACTCCATGGACAAAGACAACAGGCATATAAAAGTTATGACGCTGGAAGATGAGCCCCTCAGGTCGGAAGGTGTCCAACATGCTACTGGGGAAGAGCGAAGGGCAAGTACAAGTAGATCCAGAGCTGATGAAGCGGCTGGGCCAAAGCCGAAAGGACGCTCAGTTGCGGATATGCCTGGAAGCGAAAGGAAAGTCCAATGCTGTAAAGAAAAATATTGCATAGGAACCTGGAATGTAAGAACCATGAACCTGGGTAAGTTGGATGTGGTCAAAAATGAGATGGCAAGAATAAATATTGACATCCTGGGCATCAGTGAACTAAAATGGACGGGAATGGGCGAATTCAGTTCGGATGACCATCACATCTACTACTGTGGGCAAGAATCCCGTCAAAGAAATGGAGTGGCCCTCATAGTCAACAAAAGAGTGGCGAAAGCTGTACTGGGATGCAATCTCAAAAATGATAGAATGATCTCGATACGAATCCAAGGCAGACCTTTTAACATCACAGTAATCCAAGTTTATGCACCAACTACTGGTGCTGAAGAAACTGAAATTGACCAATTCTATGAAGACTTACAACACCTTATAGAAGTGACACCAAAGAAGGATGTTCTTCTCATTATAGGGGATTGGAATGCTAAAGTAGGGAGGCAAGAGATAAAAGGAACAACTGGCAAGTTTGGCCTTGGAGATCAAAATGAAGCAGGGCAAAGGCTAATAGAGTTCTGTCAAGAGAACAAGCTGGTCATCACAAACACGCTTTCCCAACAACACAAGAGACGACTCTACATATGGACATCACCAGATGGGCAGCATCGAAATCAGATTGATTATATTCTCTGCAGCCAAAGATGGAGAAGCTCTATACAGTCAGCAAAAACAAGACCTGGAGCTGACTGTGGCTCAGATCATCAGCTTCTTATAGCAAAATTCAAGCTTAAACTGAAGAAAGTAGGAAAAACCACTGGGCCGGTAAGATACAATCTAAGTCAAATCCCTTATGAATACATAGTGGAAGTGAGGAACAGGTTTAAGGATTTAGATTTGCTGGACAGAGTGCCTGAAGAACTATGGATGGAGGCTCGTAACATTGTACAGGAGGCAGCAACGAAAATCATCCCAATGAAAAGGAAATGCAAGAAAGCAAAGTGGCTGTCCAATGAGGCCTTACAAATAGCGGGGGAGAGAAGGCAAGCAAAATGCGAGGGAGATAGTGAAAGATACAGGAAATTGAATGCAGATTTCCAAAGAATAGCAAGGAGAGACAAGAAGGCCTTCTTAAATGAGCAATGCAAACAAATAGAGGAAAACAACAGAATGGGAAGAACCAGAGATCTGTTCAAGAAAATTGGAGATATGAAAGGAACATTTCGTACAAAGATTACCATAATAAAAGACAAAAGTGGTAAGGACCTAACAGAAGCAGAAGACATCAAGAAGAGGTGGCAAGAATACACAGAGGAATTATACCAGAAAGATATGGATGTCTCGTACACCCCAGGTAGTGTGGTTGCTGACCTTGAGCCAGACATCCTGGAAAGTGAAGTCAAATGGGCCTTAGAAAGCACTGCAAATAACAAGGCCAGTGGAAGTGATGGTATTCCAGCTGAACTATTTAAAATTTTAAAAGATGATGCTGTTAAGGTGCTACACTCAATATGCCAGCAAATTTGGAAAACTCAGCAGTGGCCAGAAGATTGGAGAAGATCAGTCTACATCCCAATCCCAAAGAAGGGCAGTGCCAAAGAATGCTCCAACTACCGCACAATTGCACTCATTTCACACACTAGCAAGGTTATGCTTAAAATTCTACAAGGAAGGCTCAAGCAGTATGTGGATCGAGAACTCCCAGAAGTGCAAGCTGGATTTAGAAGAGGCAGAGGAACCAGAGACCAAATTGCAAACATGCGCTGGATTATGGAGAAAGCTAGAGAGTTCCAGAAAGACATCTACTTCTTCTTCATTGAGTATGCAAAAGCCTTTGACTGTGTCGACCACAGCAAACTATGGCAAGTTCTTAAAGAAATGGGAGTGCCTGATCACCTCATATGTCTCCTGAGAAATCTCTATGTGGGACAAGAAGCTACAGTTAGAACTGGATATGGAACAACTGATTGGTTCAAAGTTGGGAAAGGAGTACGACAAGGCTGTATTTTGTCTCCCTGCTTATTTAATTTATATGCAGAATACATCATGCGAAAGGCTGGGCTGGATGAATCCCAAGCTGGAATTAAGATTGCCGGAAGAAATATCAACAACCTCAGATATGCAGATGACACAACCTTGATGGCAGAAAGTGAGGAGGAATTAAAGAACCTTTTAATGAGGGTGAAAGAGGAGAGCGCAAAATATGGTCTGAAGCTCAACATCAAAAAAACGAAGATCATGGCCACTGGTCCCATCACCTCCTGGCAAATAGAATGTGAAGAAATGGAGGCAGTGAGAGATTTCACTTTCTTGGGCTCCACGATCACTGCAGATGGTGACAGCAGCCACGAAATTAAAAGACACCTGCTTCTTGGGAGAAGGGCAATGACAGGCCTAGACAGCATCTTGAGAAGTAGAGACGTCACCTTGCCAACAAAGGTCCGTATAGTTAAAGCCATGGTTTTCCCAGTAGTGATGTATGGAAGTGAGAGCTGGACCATAAAGAAGGCTGATCGCCGAAGAATTGATGCTTTTGAATTATGGTACTGGAGGAGACTCTTGAGAGTCCCATGGACTGCAAGAAGATCAAATGCATCCATTCTTAAGGAAATCAGCCCTGAGTGCTCACTGGAAGGACAGATCGTGAAGCTGAGGCTCCAGTACTTTGGCCACCTCATGAGAAGAGAAGACTCCCTGGAGAAGACACTGATGCTGGGAAAGATGGAGGGCACAAGGAGAAGGGGGCGACAGAGGACGAGATGGTTGGATAGTGTTTTCGAGGTTACCAGCATGAGTTTGACCAAACTGTGGGAGGTAGTGGAGGACAGAGGTGCCTGGCGTGCTCTGGTCCATGGGGTCACGAAGAGTCGGACACGACTAAACGACTAAACAACAACAAAGCTTGGGGCCTCATCAAACCTAAATCCGGCCCTGCTGATTCTTCTAATGATATATATTGGAAATTTGTGTTTCTAGAGCAGATTTCAAGCATGCAAATTCTCAACAATCATTACAACCCCCATGTAAAGGAGGCCAGTATTTACTAAAGATGGCAAGTGGGATGAGGTAGTGCTCTGAGAAGTGGTGGCTATGAAGCTATTTGGATCCCCTTTACAGACAGTATATCAGCACAGAGATAATGAAACAGAAGGTTGTTCTTAGATCCATATTCACTTAAAAGTGCAGATAATAGTTTGAATAGGGAACTCTTGTCTTAAACAGTTCCATGCACACACACAAAAACACACCATGCATTTAACACACACAGAAAGAAGAATCCTTATAACTGGCTTCCTCCTCACAGAGCCACAATTCCCAGCACCCTTAACAATCTGCACTTCCCGGGATTCTGTGGGTGGGTGCTTTAAATCTATGGTATGTATGCAGTCCCAAATTACCCAGGATCCCATTGACTATGAATATGTAATAATAAAGACACATTCAAATGAATTTTGGGGAGGGGAAAAACAAAACAAAAAATTAGCAAGCAATCTTGCTCAAATTATCCTTTTTATGCTGCCTTAGATTTTGTGTTCATACTATCCCTCTGTGGCTCAGGCATAACAAAATATGATTGCAGGCTGCTGCTGCTGCTGCTTCTTTTAAAAAAAGATTTACTTTTGTTTAGATTTCCTACTTTAAATGTAGGGATATTTGGTTCTATGTTTCTGAGATGGGTGTATTTTAAAACTAAGATTCATGCTCACGCTTTTCTCTTAAAAATGGCTACTCTCAGAACTGATTTTGCAAACTCCTTAGCAGAGGCTGCAATCCCCACTCCTTTACAGCTCCAGCTGACTTGCCCCCA